TATGTATATGTTAAGAGAAGTTTTGTAGATGTACAGTTATGTTTGCCCTCCCCCTTACATTGTTATCACTGGATGGCCTGGGGAGCCGGGGCATTTGGGAGGGTCGGCTTGTTATTATGGCAGCACCTGACCTCCAATCAAGATGTAAGAAAGTGATGTCCACCACTGGACAGCAAAGAAGGAGTCGACTGACAAGACTTTGAGAGGGGCTAGAGGTATAAAAAGCAAAGCATCCATTTTGTGGATGAGCACATGGCAGTTGAGTCCTTTGCTCCCAGCGCTGTAATTTTTCCTTATTCAGTTTTCTGCTGTATTTTTGATAAGGTTTAATAAACCTTTAAAATTTTAAAAGTGAACATAGTTTCTCACATTTACTGTTATTTTTTGCCTGTTGCTGTTCTGCTTGTTAGTAAACTTATTTTTTAAACTTATTTACTTGTATTTGTTCCTTATTAGTGGAAAGGGATTGTTTGAGCCTATAAAGGGAAACAACTCATTTCAGAGTGTTCTCCTTTAAATTGCCTCAAACTGAGACATTGCCATTATTGAAATTTGGTGGGATGAATCCCATGACTGGAGTGCAACTATTGATGGCTACAGGCTGTTCAGAAGAGACAGGGGAGGAAGGAAAGGAGAAGGGTTTCCCTGTACATCAAGAGGTGGCTTGAGTGTGAAGAGCTGTCTCTGAATGTTATAGATATATTCTATAATATTGGCTTTTCGCAAATGTTAAAATGGATTTTATATGAGTGATGTTAAAGTAACTTTGTTATAAAGATACAGTTTTTATTTCTGCTGTTAATTAAGCTTAGACATAGTAGTGAAATAGCTGAAACCAACTGGGTCCAGCCAGGCTGAAAGGGAGCAAGGAGGCTGACACTGCAGGGCTGGAGCTGCCCCAGAGAGTGCTGACAGGAATGAGAAGGAGGTGTCTTTACAAACAAACTGTGGGCCTGCTGGTACAGATACTGAGAGGTGAAAGAAGCAATGGGTGGAACCATAAATTCCATAGGAATTCCACTAATTGACACAGACTGTTACTCACTCAGGACTGTGTTAAATCCCTGGATTTAGAGAAAAAGAACATAGACACAAGGAAAAAGGGGGGAGTACTCATTAGAAGGGGGTCTGTATTAGGCGATGCGGGAAGTCTGTACCTCTCAAGTACCTCAGCCAATGGGGGAAGAGAGAGGGAAATGTGGTCGGGAAATTAGGAAAAAAGGAGGCTGCATCCTCTAGCAATTTGAGAGACCCCATGGGAAATACCCCATGACCTTTCCCTTTATTCAAATAAAGTTACAGGACTCCTCTGTCTCCTTTTTGAACATAAACCTCTGACATCGTGGATTAATTTTCCTGACAAAGGCTAGGTTGGCTGGAGCTCTGAGAAACCTGGTCTAATGAAAGGTGTTCCTGCCCATGGCAGTGGGGTTGCAACTTGATGATTACAGGAATTCACAGAATTCACAAAATGACTAGGTTGGAAGAGACCTTAAAGATCATCAAGTCCAATCCATGCCCTAACACCTCAACTAAACCATGGCACCGAGTGCCATATCCAGTCTTTTCTTAAGCACATCCAGGGATGGTGACTCCACCACCTCCCCAGGTAGACCATTCCAGAACTTTATCACCCTTTCTGTAAAAAGCTTCTTCCTAATATCCAACCTATATTTCCCTTGACACAGCTTGAGACTGTGTCCTCTGGTTCTGTCAGTTGCTGCGTGGTGAAAGAGACCAACCCCCACCTAACTACAGCCACCTTTCAGGAAGTTGTAGAGAGTGATAAGGTCACCTCTGAGTCTCCTTTTCTCCAGGCTAAACAACCCCAGCTCCCTCAGTCGTTCCTCATAGGTCTTGTGTTCCAAGCCCCTCACCAGCCCCATTGCCCTCCTCTGGACACGCTCAAGCATCTCAACGTCCTTCCTAAACTGAGGGGCCCAGAACTGGACGCAGTACTCAAGGTGCAGTCTCACCAGTGCTGAGTATAGGGGAAGGATGACCTCCGTGCTCCTGCTGGCCACACTATTCCTGATACAGGCCAGGATGCCATTGGCCTTCTTGGTCACCAGGGCACACTGCTGGCTCATGTTTAGCCAGCTGTCGACCAGTACCCCCAGGTCCCTTTCTGCCTGGGCAGATCTTTAAAGTCCCTTTCAACCCAGGAAAATCTATGACCTCTCCCCATCCTTATCTCAACCCACGAGCCTTTCATTATATTTTCTCTCTGTTATCCAGCTCAGGAGGGAAGTGATAGAACAGCTTTGGTGGATACCTGGTGGCCAGCCAAGGTCAAACCACAACAACAGAATTATTCCTCAAAATTTCTTCTATGCTTTAATTTTTTTCACATAAATACTTCTAGAGAACATAGCAGTGACCTCTACAGTCAACTGCAGAAACCTGATATGAAGCTACCCATTATTAAACTATATTTGCATTAATCTTTAGAAGTTTGAAGCACCCCAGTTAATAGCTCTGCTGCAAACAAACAGTCAGTGTACCTGCAGGATAAGTACTCTTTTAATTTAATAAAATACTATTATAAACCATAATGATATGCCTTTTTCTTTACCTGTATATTTAATCAGTAGGATTTTGCCAGTGTATCATATAAAACCTAAACATGAACATGCTTTAAAACTAGGCCCTCTGCCAAAGAACCAATTGCAAATACCCCACTGGAAGGCTGAATGCATTTTCTTGATAAAAAAGCAAAGGAAGACCCAGAAGCTGCAGATCATTGTCCACTCTTCTCACCACTTGGTCACTGGAGTGTAAATCTCCTCTCCTCTTTCCAGGGAACTGGGGATGACTGGAAGTAATTTCAGGCTAAGGTATCTCCTACACCTCCCTCAATTCAATATATGTTGTTCAGAAACGTGTCAGATCTCTAGACAGGCAGATTGTTTCTGCATTCATCTAGTTATCACAGGAACAAGTGCTGCAAATACAAGAACTCAATTCAAACAACTGTAAAGATGCACTGTGCTACTCTTCGTACATCACTGTCTTAAGAGAAAACATTGCTGATTAAATTCTGGATAAAAATTACATGCAAACAAACACCAAACCCAGAATGCTACAAGTGGTCCTAATACTGAGAAACTATATGGAATAGTAACAGGAAGAATGAGTTTGAAAGCAGTGTCTCATCATGAAAGAGTTTTCTTACTCTTAAAGTGACTGCAGTTATGTGAATAACATAAATAATTCAAGCATATTTTCGCTCACTTTCAGAGGAGATTTTTTTTTCCTAATTTAGAACTATATTTAATATAAAATGAAGGAATGCAAGCTTTATCAGAAATTAAACACCCATACATCATGGATTATTCTCGATGTTATTTTCATGCATTTAAACAGGAAAAATGTTACGTTAACTCTATGAGAAGAATAATAATTAAATAAAAAAGCTTCACCAAAATGAAGACAGCTTGTTAGCACTTTAAGCAGTGGTAAATGTGATGGTGAGAATGTCACAAAACATTCACAAATGTTACTCCTTCTATGTACAGAAAGGAATTCCCAACAGGCTAACTTTCCAAAACTTTAGCAGTGAGGACACATTGCCTAGAGATGCATGGTTTAGCTTTCTGATCTTGAATATGATTTATGAAGTTGTCCCAGTGGAAAGAAAAAAATTCCGTGTTTTCATTAGAAAACCAAAGAAAAACTATTAGTCAAAAATGCTATTTTACCACAAATTTCATATTAGAACCATACCTAACATCCAAAGAGAAGACTAGGCTGCCCTAACACCATGGTTTTCATGTTGTGGTCTGAAGATTTCTGTCACCTCTAGACTAATTCCAAGAAGCCTGTGGAAAGTAACCAACACAAATATATTGGGTCTGGCTGAGCTGGAGTTCATTCTCCCATGGCAGCCCTCCCAGTGCTGTGCTTTGCATTGGGAGCTGGAAAGGTGTTGAGAACACACCAGTGTTTTGGCTACTGCTGAGCAGTGCTGCCACAGCATCAGTGCTGTCTCAACATTCTGCCCCCTCACCCTTGAAGGCCTGTAGGCTGGGTGTGGGCAAGATCCTAGGAGGGAACATAGCAAGGCCAGCTGACCCAAAGGATATTCCATACCATATGATGTCTGCTTAGATATAAAAGCTAAGAAAAAGGAGGAGGAAGGGGGACATTCATTTTTATGACATCTGTCTTCCAGAGCAACTGCTACACATGCTGAAGCCCTGCCTCCTAGGAAGTGGCTGGACATTGTATGCTGATGGGAAATAGAGAATAAAACTCTTTGGTTTTCCTTTGTTTTCACATGCAGCCTTTGCTTTTGCTTTATTAAACTGCCTTTATCTTGACCCATGACTTCCATCTTATTTCCCCCCCCAGTACTGCTGAGGAGGGGAATGATAGAGTGGTTTGGTGGGCACCTGAAAGCCAGCCAAGATCAACCCACCGTAGCAAACAAGCTTAACAGTCAGTGTCCGCTGCAGAGAATTTACATTTCCATAAGGAGAAAAATTAAGGATGCACAAATAAAACCACTGGACATCTGTGCTTTTATCTGTTCTTTCCTCCATCTAACAGAAGGATTTTATTTTTTCAGATTGATGCAAATGCACTTTTATACAGTACACAACTATTCATCTCATCTGTCCCAACTACTTCCCTTTACAGCCAAGAGGGTATTCTGATACCTTTGATACCAATTAAATTAGCCTTTGTCATTTAAAGATCATAACTTACCACTATACTTCCAGTGTACACCACCTTTTCCAAAATTCTGATTCAACAAGCAATATTATAATATAATTAAGACATTATTAAAAACAAACAAAAAAATCCTCAACCTAAAGTGTTTCTAGCTATTTGTCTAGCTAGAAAACTAGAACAAGCAATCCAAAAGGTCAATAAAAAGTGAGAAAAGAGAAAGTTATCTGAAATGGCTCCACTGAAAGACTAACTTCAAATACAGTCTCAGTTAATGTATAACCTCAATTAATTGTTAAAGCATACAGTTAACTAAACAAACTTACCATACAGGTACGGGAGTTTTCTCCTATGAATGAATCTCTTAGCACCTGAGTAAGTTTACTTGCTCTGAATGGCGTATGAGGTTTATTTCGGCCTAAGGCTCTAATGCACTCCTGAAAGAACAAACAGGTTTATATTTAATAAAATCAGAGTAAAACCTCATATGTATAGAATCCCCATTAAAGAAAAATGCATAATACAAATGCAATTCAAAATCAGAAAATATATGCCTTAGTTATGTTGCTGAAGTTATGCAAAATTTAATTTAAGAAGTGTTAGACTTTCATCTCTCATTAAGCTCAGTAGAGAGGTTGGAACTTTAAAAGGACTTAGGAGCCTAAGTACTTTCTGAATCTCATCTAAAACAGTTACATGTATTGTACTCAACAAGAACAAAAAAATCATTGTTGATGTTAAATCTCCAGACTAACAACTATTTCTGATTATGATCTGCAAAAGCCTGAATGATATACAGCCTCTGCCAGCAGAAGCAGTGTGGACCATGACTCACGTTAACTCTATCAGTTAAAAGCAGTAGCTTTGATTCTGGCTTCACCACTGACTTTCTTTACAGCTCAGAAGAAAACACTGGTGCCCAAATTTTCTGAAAGCTTCCACCGGTCACAAACCTAGTAAGTATAAGCTCTGTATTGATGTACTCAATACTGGAAAACACTTGAAAATGCAAGCCACTCCCTGTTTACGAACACTCTTCATGAGAACAAAGATAACATTTACCTCCCCTTTCAGTCACAAGAATGGTATGGGGCTAAAGTAATATCTGTAATTGGTTGAAGAGTTCCAGAGAGAAATACTGTACAGAATAGTAAGAAATTAGTATAGAAGTTACAGCAGCAACTAAGTACAATAGCACAAACCAAGATCGCAGTAATCAAGACATCACTTCTGCCCACTCAGAATTCTAACATTAGCTAATAAATTACTTCTTACAGAAAGTTAGTTCAAATTTAAATTTGTTTTGCTGTTGTCATATTTGGATCATTAATTCCAGTTTCTGCCTTTGCCTTAATACTTTGTGTACAGGCATCTCTTAAGATTCAGGGCTTTCCTGGTACAGCTTTAACATGTTTACACACAGAACTTCTTCAAACAACTATACATCAAAATCTTTTCATATTATGGCTTTGCTTTTAGCAAGACTAACAGATGGAATGGCTTTTGTGTTACATGAATAGTTCTACAGCAGTTCAGCTAATCCTTGAGCTGCATCCATATCCTTGTGGCCTACTGAAATTTCCTAGAAACAGTTTCTTACAAAAGCCAGGCTATAAACTCTGGGATGATAACCCAAGAAAGCATTGCAACAGTGAAACAGCATAAAACAACTAAATGGGCTCAGAATAAAAATGCCCCTATTTAGACTGAATGCCTTTCGAGCATTATAAAGCAAATTATAAAAGCATTTGATTATTTAAATAATATTTCATAGCTTTCTTGATGTCTTCTTGAATAATGTATAAAAAACTGCAGTGATTTCAAGGCCTCACCTTGAATATTGTGAGCAGTTTGGGGCAGCACAATAACAGAAAGATATTAAACTATTAGAGAGTGTTTGTAAAAAAAGACCAGATAATATTGGCTTTTGCATTTATGTATTAGCTTCTGCATGTTGTTAGTGATTAAAGAAATTTAGAGATAGTATCACTTATAACTCTTTTAGCTGCTTTTTAATATAATATAATCTATCCGCTTAAGTATGCACTGTGTTGATCATAGAAATAGTAGTGTATGAATGAAATATCTATGTACCATTTATGGAAATAATAGTGTGATGAATGTATTGTATTATAGACCTTAGCAAAACAAAAGACATAAAAAAAGGTTTTTGTGTAACTAAAAACAGTGTAAGGCCATCCACTGAACAACCTGTTCAAAATAAGATAACTGTGACACAAACCAGAGCACTGCAGGACAATTAGAGAATACCATGTTAAATTTAAGGAGGACATACTAAATCCTTATCCGAGGATGTGAAACAACAGGATAGAGACACAAGAAGAAATAAAATATATTGACCTGACACACAGGATGTCATGCAGTGTCTTGGTTTGAAAAGACAGGTGTCTGCTAAGGAAGGCAGGAGCCTCCTCTGAAATGGAAAATGTAATTTTGAAATTGAGGGGCTCTCAGGCAAAGATATGGGAGCAGGAATAACAGTTTTTTATTAGAGAATGAAATAAAAAATAAAATAAACAATGCAGTAATACAAAACAACACTGTCAGAGTCAGAATATGACCTAACACACTGTTGGTCAGGGTGTCGGTAGCAGTCCAATTGAAATGGTGCCTGCAGTCCTCCTGGAGTGACAGATGTGGTTCTGTTGAGGCAGTGGTCCTGTAGAAGGGTGTAGTCTTTCTCTGAAGATCCAGTGGTAGTGTAGATGGGCCTGGTCTTCCTCTGGGAATCCAGTGGGAAAGGGCTGGCTGTGGTCTTCCAAATCTCAGATTATATCCAGGTAGGAATGCTTGGCTCCTCCCTCTGGGCGGAGCTTCTCACAATGGGATGATGTAATTTTATCAGTCATGCAGTGAGATTCAATGGCCCATTAACAGAAGATATCTCCTCAAGAAAACCGCCCAATTAATAGACGATAACTGCCCCACGTCTAACAGATAGGAATAGAATACACACCCCCATTTCCAAATTAAGACATGCAGATAAGCTGGAGTGTAAAGAAGTCAAAGAAAGAAGTTCCCAAAACATCAGAAAGTTAGCAAGAATGTTTGAATAATGCATGACACACATGAATATCCATGCATCTCAGCGATGTAGTAACAGTATAAAGATAACATTGTCTGTATACATTGGTGTGTTCTTTGGCTGTTGTCCAGGAGCCCCCCAGCACTGGACATATTGTCCTTTTTTATCCTATTGTTATTAAACTTTTAAAAATTCTAAGCAGTGAATTCTGGTTTTCCACATGTTCAAAGGATGGCAACAAAGATGGTAAAGGGCTTTGAGGGGAAGCTGTATGAGAAAGTGGCTGTGGACCCTTGGTCTGTTCAGTCTGGAAAAGAGGAGAGTGAGGGGGACCTCATTGCAGTCTACAACTTCCTAGTGAGGGGAAGAAGGGCAGACACTGATCTCTTCTCTCTGGTGTCCAGTGACAGGACCCGAGGGAATGGCCTGAAGTTGTGTCAGGGGAGGTTTAGGTTGGATATTAGAAAAAAGGTTCTTTACCAGAGGATGGTTGGGCACTGGAACAGCGTCCCCAAGGAAGTGGTCACAGCACTAAGCCTGACAGAGTTCAAGAAGCATTTGTTATTATGACCCACCCCTGAAGGCGAGTGTGGTGGTTTTTTGCATGGCTTGATTTTTGGTGAAGAGGGAAGAAGCCTGGCACAGAAGTGATTTTCTGTGAGGAGCTGCTAAAAGCTTCCTCCATGCCTGGCAAAACCAGTCGCTGGCTGGCTCTGAGAATAGGCACACTACTAAGCCAATTAGGAAAGCTGGTAATGCCTCTATGATAACATATTTAAAAGAAGAAAAACCACGGGAAGCTCTCTTTCTTCCTCGCCTTCGAGGAGTGGTGACAGGGCAGTCAAGCCCCCTCCTGGCCAGCCTGCCAGGCGCGTTCTTGGCGGGGCGGCTGAGGCCCTTTCCCAACACAGCTGCCAGGTTCATGCTGCCGTAAGGGGGCCATCCTGGCACTGCAAACAGCCCTGAGGAGGAGGCCAGGAGCAGCTGGGGCTAGGACCAGCTGCTGCCACCCCAGTCCAGGAGGGACCACGCAGCCAGGACTGCATGTCTGAGGCAGCACCAGGTGGCCTCTCCCATCTCAGCATGGTTTACAATGAACTTTATTTGCTTTTAGCAAGCTACGCTGCAGACAGAGGGGCAGAGGTGGCAGCAGCAGCTTTTCTTTTTTGGTGCCCCACATGAGGAGCTGAAATTCTTCTGCAAGCCATGGTGAGGACTATAATACAACAGACTGTTTCCCTGTAATTCATTAAGTGCATGGGGGGGGGGGTTGCAGAATTCACCTGCAGCCTGTGAGAAAAAGGTACTCATGCTGGAGCATGTGGATGCTGAGAAACTGTGATCTGGTGAGAGGTTTAAATAGAGAGAGAGAGAACCCTTGCTTCCAGAGATAGAGGATGAAGACCCTTGCTTTCATACTAGAACAGCTCATCCTTAAAACTGCACCCCATGAACTAATGGACCACACAAAAACAGTTGTGGGAAGACTGTTTTGCCCGTAAGAGGGATTCACATTGCAGCAGGTTTGGGCAGGACTGCTACTTGTGAAAATTTAAACCAGGTTGGAAAAGTTAACAGAAAACTGTTTCCTGTAAGAAAGACCCCATGGCATAGCAAAAGAAACTCATATCCCTAAGCAAACTGAAGAAAGATTCTTTAGAAGTGGCAGATTGACTAAAAACCCTATGTTTTGTCTCCCTGCACTGTCAGTAGGAAGGAAAGAAGGGGGGGAAGTGTTCTAATGGTTTATTTTAGTTCTCATTATCCTCCCTTTAAATTCTGTTAATAAATTTTTCTATCTTTCAAGTTTTAAGCCTGTTTTGCCCTTAGAGTGTTTTCTCCTAATCATTATCTCACCCCATGAGCTTTTTAATTTCTTTTTCTTTTTCCCTCCTCTTCTCAACTATAGCCGAGGAGAATGAGTGAATGATTTTTTGTGAGTGCACTGGGGTTTAGCCAGCATCAATCTGCAACAGCAAGGGTAAGCCAGGTTCTTGTTAATAGATCCCTTGGGGTGGATTTGGGTGAAAAAACATTGAATGATCAGTGTTTGTAAATATATATGTGTAGGGTTTATTTTATAACAATTTGGTTGCAATGGAAAGCAGATATTGATACCTAAAGATTTTTGCATTTTATGTATTTTTCATATATTCATAGCTCTGTAGACTTCTATTACATAGGTAAATAGCTACTAGTATTTTTCCTACCCTTTCTCTTAGATTTTAGAATAATAGGCTAACCTTCTAACACATTCATGAAGTACTGTTAATCTTATTTTCAAGAAGAGAAGCCTGACAAGGATATTTTGTTTTCCAACCAGAATCTGAGAAGACACAATGTCACGGTTTGATGCTGGAGTAATGCCAGTGCCCCCATGAAAATACATTT